TATTTAGATCCAGAGCTGAGTAAGACCACAAAAGGGACCTTGGTAAAGAAAGGATGAGACTGAGGGAGGAAAGACAGTGAGGACTGCAAGAAATCAGAGAGGATGTCATACAGTGGTAGAGGAAACTGGTTAAAACAAGGGAAGTGGTTAAGCCACTGGCAAAAAAAAGATGGCATGCCACATCCACATAGGAGTAGATAGTATCTATTGTCAGTGAGAAGATAATGAATCAATTCAGGTGTTAATAGTAAGAGGAGAATGATTTGATTGCATGCTCTGATTTTGTGCTTAGCTGTCAGGTTCAATACTGGGATCATGAAACATCACTTTCCCAGCACAGAACAATGCCTCTTGTAACTGTGCCTGGTGTTTCTTGGAGAGATGCACAGTACTGAGCCTGTCTGGAGTTGGAATGCCAACTGTAGCTCCAGATGTTAGATTGCTAATTATGTGATGTTTTGCATCACGCTTAGATTAGTGTGTGGAGTACATAACTCTACCAGCTTCATTATCAGGAGCATTTCTTGTTGATGAAGACATTACAAATTAGGCTGAATTGCCTTGCTATATAAGAAGAAACAGATCCAGCTTTTCCTACCCTTAGGGTAACTCCCCTACATTATTCTGAGCTCACTGAGTGGCTGTGAACATATGGCATAAACAGTTTAGAAGATCAGCTTCTAGAGAGCAATATGATTGTAAAGAAACATAACCAGTCTTCATAACTGTTTGTAATTCTGTAGATAAGGATGTGGTTTGAAAAGGACCTATCTGCCATTTACTTAATATTCTTGGATATTTAAGTTGTAATAGTGTATTTCAAATGTTAGGTTTACCATCTTTCCAGGGCTGAAACTTACACTAGGAGTGATAAGACAGAGAGTTTTCTAGAAGCCTATCTAACAGCAATTACTAAGTTTGAAACAGGATTACTTCGTGCTGGAAGCACCATTTTCTCTCTTGGCTTACTGCCCTCACCAAAACACTTGCAAAACCACAGAAATAAAATCCTGTTGCTTCTTGGCAAATGCTGCATGTTAGTAATAGCCACTTAGAACCGGGTAAACTCAGGAGCAGCTTCCATTCCACTGAGTCCTAAATAGTTCCAATAATTCTTCCTACTGTGATCGGAAAAATGAAGGATGATTGAACAAGATTATGCTTATTTTGGCTTGTACATAAAGATGTACTCTCCCCTGATGTTGGGAGAGGCAAAGGTATTTCAAATGCAGTTCCAACTGTGCTGTAAGAAACTGCTGCTTCCAAGAAAACTGCTAGCATAAGACATGTTGGGACTGCCATTTCCCAATAGCTAAGGATTTTAATGTTTATGTAGTGCTGTGACTCCTACACAAAGGGTTTGATGAATAAGATGAGAAGAGCTGACCTGATGAAAATGTGCCTGAAAGGATGAGGTGCAGTTTGTATTACATCCCAGGACTCTGTGTTGGTTGGGGTTTTTTTTGCTTTCTGAGTTGAAGTTAAATAGTTTGTAAAGTTAAAAAGTTAAGTTAAATAGTTTGTATTATAAACCCTTCAGGGATCATTCCAAAGTGATGCTATAAAAACCATGCTCTGCAGCAGAAGTGACAGTGGATCTAAAATCTCATTCGAGCAGTCCGTGCAGTTTCAAAGAAATATAAGGACTTACTCCTCACCAGTCCATGAATTGTAACTGATAATCCTCTTGATAAAAAAACAACTGCAGAAGGTCATGAGAGCAGTGAATATTTAAACTATTTGGGTGGGTCAAATTTCAGGATTTCTTCAGTGTCTCCCGAACAATAAAAACAAGTAAATGATTTTCAATATATCTTACCCGTGTAAATTCCTTTTACTGCTAATCTGAGCATGGAGAACTGCTTTGAGTGTTAAAATTTCTCTGGTTTTGAAGGATGTAAAAGCTGAAAAGGTACCAGAGGTAAAATCTGAGGACCAAGAAGAATGCTAAAGAGAAAAATGTTCATTTAGATTTTGGATTTATTTAATTCAAGGGTTTAAAGATAATATCCATCTTAGATTGGAACTACATGGCAGTAAAATGGTGAAGCAAACATTTTCTGTGGCTATGTGTACCATTATCCCCCTAGGGTCTGGTCATTCAATTTTGCTACTCTTTGAAGTGTCTCGATTCAAGGTCCCATTAGGAGCCCTCAGTCTTCAGAGGAAATGCTACATGTGTTGAGTCAAGAACCTGTTCAAATAGCTGTAGTTCAGTGCCCAAAAGCCAGTGCCTGGTGTTGAGAAGCTGGCCACCCAGCCAGGGGGTGGTACAGTACCATCTCTTACCTCCTAATTGTGCTGAGTGCCCTGGCATCACATTTTCTTCCCTGAACACTCTTGGATCCTGACTGCAACTCCATGAATGCTGCTATAGTAAAATGCAGGTTATTTCTGATCCACAGTCACACAACACAGATGTGTTTTGTAAAGCATGCCATGAAATAACATGACTCATTCTCTTAGCCACTCTTACACCAGCTTAATCACACAGGGATAGCTTGAGGTAAAAATCCCCAAATTGCTTCCTATGTTCAGTAGTCTCATTTGACAGTGCAAAATTTCTGGATTTCACATGACAGCATTCACCATTCCTATAGTTCAAATTTTTTTAATCTTCAGGAATATATAATTTGTAGGTAGGGCTGCATTTTAAAAGAAACAGATCTGAAGTATTACAAACAGCTTCATTAAATACATGCTTTCAGAAGTTATGAGATGCAAAGCGAATGCATCAAACAGAGTGAGTCATTCACTAAGATCCAGATGAAGATGCAACCCATTGAAAGACAGCAAGTTGTGCAGGTGGCCACAAATGAAGAAAAATAGATCTCTGAATGACTGAGATTAGCCTGATTCTTTCAGATTAAGTTATTCAAACAGCACCAAACTGTTAAATATTGTATTTTGAGTTTGCTGTATCAAAGGGATTTTGTTCGAGGCCCAAAGTAAGTGGTTATCTTCATATTTTTTCCTCTGCAATTGAATTCTTTTCTGAAGAATAAAGGTAGTCTGTGGTCCTGAGTGGAGATCCACTTTCATATTTTCGTAGCAGATGCTGAAACATCTTCCTCTGTGGCTGCTTATTTAATGCATTTTCATATTTGTGACACCCCTTGTCAGCAATGTGGCTACCACTGTGCTATATCTATCTTATTGCAGACTTCTCTGGGATGTGAAATAGCCTTGGTTCAGGCTTTCCATCCAGCCTGGACACTGCCATTACCCAGCTGCCATTTCAGAAACCCAAACATGGGGAACTTCTGTGTTGAATCTCATTGCTCTTACTTTTGACAGAGGGCTGGGGAAGGATGGGATGGGATAGTAATAAGCTCCTGGGGTATTTACCCTCATTCTTACTGAATATGGAAATGGAGAATTAAGGGCAGCTCTGTTTCCCCCGAGGGGAAATGGAGTGTATTGATTAATTGCTGTAGGAATATAATGGTGCTTCACACTTCCTTCAAATGCTAGCATAGCTTGAAGACAGCCCATGAGTTTTCTGGTATGCAGCCTTTAATTGCATATCCCTTTTTGCTGGAGGGTTCAGTTTATTAATTTAATAGTGTTTTATCAACCTCTGTCAATGCAACCCCTTGCTGGTGGTTGTGGAATATCATGACTCTTTTACAGTGAAAACTAAATAGTCTTACTAATGCTAAAGTTGAAGACAATTTTCCATCTGATGAGCACACAAGCAGGCATCTGTACTTTATGCCATGTTGTACCAATTTTGCTTCCTTCCTTCCCCTCTCTAATCAGACTCTGACTGTTTGTTCTTTTGTGTCTCTTTTCTTTGCTGACCCTCTTTTCACATTGTTATTTTCAGATTAGAGAAAATTGCTTTCTGTCTGGTAGGGATATAATTTCCTTGTACCCACAGAGAATTTCACTGGGTACCCAGTCTTGGAGTAGATGTAATTAGGCTTTTGCTAAATTCCTACTGTAGCAAAACTCGTGCTATGTCACAGCATGCTGCCAAAATATCTCTCCATAGGATATTATGTCTTCTGAGTGCTTGTTTCTTAAACATTTACTCTGCTGTTTAAAATTTTTGACTGTCTGTATTAAGAGTTCAGTAAAAAGGATTAGCTTTGTAGGAGAAAAAAAGAGGGCTAGCTTCAAACATCTCTTTGTTTTCCATTTTACAGCAAGGAATGCTCCTCATTCCCTGAATGAAACTTCATATTAAACTATAGATACCTGAACACAGCCTATGGTGTTTAACACCAAAGTCTGAGACATTGGCTCATGACTTCCGGAATCTGACCGTTCCCCACAACATAAATTACCAGGGCCAAATCCACCAGAGGATATTCTTATCCAGGGTAAAGTCTAGGGTGGGGCAGTTTTGCCTAGATTGACTGTCCAAAGGACCCGTGCTTTCAACTACTGCCAGGTAGCCTGTGGTGCTTGGTCTCCTGGTGAGCTGTGAAACACCACAAAGTGGTCCTTAAAAATGTTGCTTTTTTTGTTTCTCAATTGCAAATGCATATTCCTCACATGTAGGTAAACAAGAAGTTCCTCAATCCTTGTGTTGGACAACTATACACTTTGAAACTTGGGGAGTTTGAATGTGCTTTGCTCTCACTATCCCAGCAATTTCTACTCTTGGTTAGTATTTTTTGATTGTGAGTTTATATATTGTTTACAAAAGCCTTTAAAATATTTTTTCTTAAACAGCTGACAGCTGGATACAATACTTTTCTGTTTAATACTTAAATCAAGCACTTAACCTGCTTCTGGGTCTAATCAACAAGACATTTTTGATGTATTTACCAATCTCCCCCTATTTTCCTGCTGACTTAAATGGGAGTATTTCAGTTATTAACTGAACCTCCTTTGAATATTAAATTGTTTAATCAAAGAAGCATAGCTTCTCTCTGTTGAATTCACAGCTACCAGTAACACCACCTCCCTCTATCATCTGGATTGCTCTGATATTTTGTTATGTTAGATGTTATGTTAGCTGATGTTAGAGTCAGCTCTTCTCCTGTTAGAGTCAGCTCTTCTCCTTCAGGGTTTTGACTAACTTTGTTTCCTCAGACTGTAAGACTACTCATTATCATGGTCATCCTTCTGCTACTTTCTGCTACAAATAGGCATTACAGATGATCCTGAAGAAGAGATGGTTTTGTTGTGATCTGACATCTTGGAATGACCACACATCACTGTAATATACCTAGTCTCAATATGAGAAGTATAAATATTTAAAAAACTTTGTAACAATTTGTCAGCTGTTTAATGTAGCAAGAGTAACATGACATTCATGTGAAGGGTTTGCTAAATGGCTGACCTAAAACAGTTCAGGAGGCAGAGAAGCACTCACTGAATATTATATGAACTTGCAACTACAGTTGACAAAGAAACATATAAGTTGTTAAGAAATAAATATTACTTGTAGTTAAAGAGCTTTTGTTTCAATGCAGTTATTATGTGAATTTCACCTCTGCAAGATGTGATTTCCAAGAGATTCTGGGGAAAAGCCATACTGGAATCATTCCACAAGTATCTCTCTTCATCAAAGTAGCAAACGACTAGTCTTACCACGTCATCATTTGCTGTTCAGTGAAAGCTGAATCCACTGAGGCTGCAATGAACATAATGGCATTTAGAGAAAGCCAGTGATCCAGAATAGGCATTACTAATTTATCATAACACCCTATGTGCAAGAGCTTTTGACTCAATTCATGAAGTTGCTCTGCACCACAGGTCCAGTAGCAGGTCTGTTACAATTCAAACATCCCTGGTAGGCACAAGAAGGTCAAACTACGCTTGGAACAACAAAGGAAAAGTTAGACATTTCACAACATGAGATCTTTGTGGTTTAATCAGTCCAGATTATCTGTTGGTACATTGAACAGATGGACAGCTCATCACAGGGGCAGCTCTGTAGATACTACACACTTGTATGTCCTTCACAGCACGTCTCTGTGGGAGCAGTGTGACCTCAAAGAAGATGCCAGCTGTGCTCCTACATCCATTCCTTGTTCATCATCCAAACTTCTTGTTCCCGTTGTACTTATGGCTGATAATTCTGGTACGTGCTTCTCCTGATAAAAGTGGAATCAGAAATGAGGAAAAAGTTCTTAGAGGTTTCTTGTTTAAAATCACATTTAGTTTCTTTCATTGAAAGCAGATTAACTGTTCACTCTTTCTTACCCTCCTTTGCTGAGTTTTCACAGAAAGAACTTCTCTGCTGGAGAAATAGAATAAAAACAAGCTGCAGAGAGCAGAGCTGTAACTATTTTTTATTTAAGCAATAAAAAAAGCAATACTGCAATCCTTAATTAAAGCAAGTTGAGACAACTATGTGGTTTAATGATCTGGTAGAACCCTTTTTATTCCAAGAAGAGCTGCATTTGTCAAGACAGGAACAATCAGGGAAATATGTCTTGTTTATCTCACAGAACAACTATTATCTCCTGAAAATAGCAGAGTTCTCCATTTTAGGAAGTGCAGTTAGAATTGGCTTCCCAGTCCCCTCTTTGTGCCCCTGAGTAAATGCATGTGGGAATTTTTACACAGGAGTACTCTTAGAAGATGTGGAGCTGGCATCGCCTGCTTGGTAGCATCTATTCTCCATCACCACCCCATCCCAGTACATTAGCCATGCCAGGTAATAAATCACAGCACTGTAGAGGACTATAGCAAATGGCATTTGGCAATTCTGGACTATTGTTCTGGGTAGTTACAAGACTATCTCTCAATCTCTCCTTTGCTCAGCTCTCTTCAGCTCCTTAACACCAGATAACATGTGTGAGTTGCTTCTACACAGCAAGGTATCCTCTGTCTCCACACTGGTAACATTCTGTATCTCAGAATGATCTTTCCTCATGATCTTTCCTCAACAGCAACTTGCCATGTGAGTGGGAATGGGAAGGGACTTGCAGGAAAGCACTCATGTCCTGCTTTGTGTAGAGGTCTTCCCCTGCAATGTCCTGAGCAGCTGTGACTAGTCAGAGCAGTATTATGTTCAGTGAAGATCATGCATGGACAGGTAACAACTGAAGGAACACCTTGTGTCCTTAAATGCTGTTTTGTCCTAAAAGAAAATTGAATTTGTCTCTTTTTGATAAGCACAATGCCTTCCTCAAAGCAGCAGGTGGCTGGAACCATTTAGCCAGGTTTGTAATTTTCCTCTGATGATCACATTAACTAATGTTTAGCTCCTGGGAAGCTAATGAGACGCCCATGGTATCCAGAGCACTCTGCCAAACGCTGGGAGGTATGTTCTCTGCCTTCATGCTTTTAAGGAACACAAACACGTGCCAACACTGCCAGTTGGGTCAGATAGGATAAAGAGAGACTTATTGCTGGAACCACTCTAGTTCATGAAGAGTATCCTTAGAACTATTTTATGAATAGGACAAAAAACAGTTGAAAACACATATGAGGAGGGAATTTCTTTTGGTACTAATCTTGTCCTTTTGGGAATTCCCATAACCACTAGGATATTGGACTACAGGTTTTTCCATATGGGATCAGTATGAAAGACATCTTTTCAGTGGTTACAAACTGGTATCAACCAGTAATATTGAAGCTGATTTGGGTTTCTTTTTAGATTTTCAAATAGAGTGTTTCCATGATGAATAAAAGGTGTGTAGCCAGGCCAGTTTTCATATGGCACTTTTTTACCAGAGGGAAATAGCACTTTATGATAAGGTGTTTTTCAAAGGAAATTTTTGATGTGTCTTTTTCTGGAAAGCCTCTCTCCGTGCATATTTTGGTGTAAACCTTGTTTGTCTAATACATATTTATATAATAAATTCAAGCCTTTTATTTCAGAAGGCTTTCACAGATACCAACTCATCCATACAGTGGAATAAAAAGACCTGACCAGATCAAATGTAGCAGATCTGATGGATCTGCTCAGAAAGGCCTGAGACAAACCTTCATCTCTGAAAACTGAGCAGTTAAATTAAACTAAACAGGATAAGGCTGGGCACTGGCTGTACTGCTGAACAGGTATGCTCGTGAGATGGACTCAATCAGCCATGGGAGAGGAGAGCAGAGCATCTGCCTTGCCAGATGCAAGGTGCAGGGTGCCCAGCACGGATAGTGGAGCTGGACACTGTGCAGGTCTTGACTGAGGAGGACTGCTGCCAGTCAAGCAGGAGAGCTCTCCTGGGGTATGCGTTCTGCTAGAAAGAGCAAAGCAAACCATACCATAAGAGGTGAGCAGATAGCAGGAGGGTGCTCAGGGCTTCCCAGGGCTGGCTGAGGCAGGGTTGAATGTATTTTGAACTGAGAAAGAGAGGCTGTGCTGGTGGCTGTGTGCCATGGCCCTTCTGCACAGCCTGTGCCCTTGGAGGAGTGTGGGAAGCAGGGGAATATTGAAACCACTTCAAAGCTTCCTCTGTGCCTCTGTAATCAGAGAAAGATGAAACCCATTCACAGTCTGTCCATGTGAGATATAAATTGTTGGTGCAGCACAGCCAGTGCTGGGGACTCTCTACTCCCCTGTCCCAGTTTCCATTGCATCCTGGCAAAAAGGTAAAAATCAGCACAAATTTCACCCAAACTCAGGATGTCAAGAACAAGAACTCACCCCAATGCCAAGGAATATAAAGGAAACAAAGAAGTAATTTGCAAGAGGAATTACAGCATCAAGAACGTAAGTTCTAGCTCCTTTGTGTTTTTCAGACCTGTAGGATGATTTGAATGGTTAGACTAACAATGTCCCACAGCCTGCTGAAGAAATACAGAGAAGGCAAAAAGGAAAATTGTGTACGTCTCTGTGTCCAACATTAAATTGCAGAACCACAGGATATGCTGGATTGGAAGCAACCCACAGGATCATCAACTTCAACTCTCAACCCTGCACAGAACATCCCCAAGTCACACCATGTGCCTGAGAGAATGTGACCATTTCTCTCCAAGTCAGTAACAGCTTGAAAATAAAAATCCATGGTTACATCTGCTCTGTGAAGGCAGAAAGAGCCTTGCGTGTTGATATTTGCCACAGACCAGTAAATCACTTTGGTAAACATGACCACCGGTACATAAACAGCTGTTGGTAACATGCAGGGAGAAAAATCAGGATCACTGTGAGGGATTTCAACATCAGTAACTTAGAGAAAAGACTCATAAAGCCAGAATGAAATATCCTTGGAATTCTTCAGCATTGTAAATGATGATTTGCTAACTAGCAAAGTACTGCATCCAGTATTGTAGTCTTGTCAAAACTTCATCTTGCAAAGGACACAAAAAAAGTCTGTGCAATAAAAAGCAATAATTGTTTAGGTTACACTGACTGTTTTGGCCAAAAACAGCCTGCTTGATGTGGAGCAGAATTTCAGCCAGCTCTGCAGATCTTGGTGACTGCCCCCAGAAAAAAACTGTCTGGGTTTGTCTAGCACTATTTAAATCAAGATTGGACCTTTTTCTGAAAAACACATTCTGTTTCAATTTGAGCTATGAGACTTGAGGCAGCCATTCCTGAAATCTCTGCTCTTCATAATGCAGCAGATCAACCTAGGAGATCTATAGAGACTTCTTAGTAACTCAGACTTAATAACTATGACACTTAATGTAGGCAAGTGTCATAATTTAATGGTCATGCCATATGCCCAAGCACTTGACGTTTTCAGTGGAAACACTGTAAGCTAAACTTCAGAAAGGCAGTTTAATTGTAATGCTTGAAATTTTTTATGTACATTTACCTCTAGTAGAAGCTGCTTACTTAACATTTTGCTGTATATGCTCCATTTTACTTAGAAAAGAGCAATATTTTCTAACACCCAGATGATGCGACATATCATGGCAAAAAAAAAAAAAAAATGTTTTCATGTAAGTAAGATTAATGAAAGGAATTATGCAGGGAGTCAATACTCTATTGACAAGTAATCCCAGGGACCATGAGCCAGCATATTTACAAAAATAAAGAAGGAGCTGGCAGTGTCAAGCCACTCTAGAACCTATACTCATCTGTCACTTGCTTTTCATCGTCCTCTTTTGACAGCTTTCATTTTTTTATTCCTGGTCAAGACAGAATGTTAGGTCCCCAGAGATTTAAGCAAACATTTAAAAACTATGCGCTGTTAAGAAAAACAAACAACTTTAGTCTCACATTCTAGGTTCAGCATGGTAAGGATGAACTAGTAATCATCCTTGTTGGGCACTGAGATGTCTAGATTCTATAGAATATCATTAAAGCAACAACATGTGACCTTTACTGTTACAGATGAATATCAGTAGGAGCTTGAAATGTTAGTAGAGTTTTGAAGAGTTAGTAGAGTAGAGGTGGTTTTGTTCTGCTGGCAAAACAGGTTCCTGTGTCAATCAGTCAACCAGGTCAGGTAGTCAAAACTCCAAATGCTCTTTTATTTGTCTGAAACTTTTGAACCATTGTTTTAGGAGATAATATTGTGCTACTCAGTGCAGTCAGAAATGCTGCCTTGACTCTCGTACAAACACCTATATTTCTTATCAATTATACTTCCTGAGGCATTTTTGTCTTAATCCAGTCACAGGAAAAAATTAAAATAAAATTTTCTATGAAACACTTAATTTGAGCTGTTTGAAATAAGCAGGACCATGTTGATAATGGTATAAAGAAAGCGAGCTTTAAGCTTTTGTATTCAGATTCAATTCTTGCTCAGCGGGGTCTCTTAAATTATATTCAGGGGAGGAAATGTCAAGTCACCCTGAAAAAGATTATGTCCTTTCTGGGAGAAACTTTTCAGAAGCATTTCTTGTATCTTAGCAACAGTATATTTAACACTGCACTGATTTTTTAGAATTTATTTTTCTTTTTTAATCTTGTTTTCTGCTGGTTTACTAACTGGGCTTAATGGATGAGATCAGACTGTGCATAGGCAGCTGGAGGAAAAGGATGCTTGCCTTAGCATCTCCGGCCCAGCCGTGGTGCTCACAGCACGTTACCCTCAGCCACTAAGGAACCACCACAGTACCTAACTGTTGTAATTCTATAGAGGAAAAGCTGGATGAAAAGTCAGTTTATCATTACTGTTTTTCATCGGTATGGGATGATTTAAAAAAAAACAAAACGTTTTATTTATATGATATAAACAGAGAAATTCAATAGATTTCCTCATTTTACAAATATTCCTCATGCTGTGTGCTCTTTAGAGATTAATGCTCTAAACCCGCTGTAAATTATGACAGGATATGTGTAATCTACCAGTGACTTCAATGCTTAAAAGTCTTTGGCCTCCAGCCTTGGCCGTATCAAGGACCAAGCATGTTTCTCTTAGATCATCCTGTTCACTCCTTCATGGCTCACTGCTTGAGAGCCCAAACCTGCCCCCACTGAAATGGAAGGCAAAGCTCCAGCCTTAATCAGTGTTCGCAGAAGTTTGAGCCTTTTGGCAATGGGGACCTTTTTGTTTCACAAACAAGGTCAAATTAAGCACAGCAAAGAGTCTTGTAGCTGTTTGTGAGGAAAACTGGGATGTTGGAGAGAGACGCAGATTTGGTGAGAGTTTGGGGTTCTGCCAAAGGATCTCCATAATTTACAACTACTGAGTATAGCTCTACTACTAATCTAAGCCTGGAATGGCTTGTTGTAGCTGATCAGTTGATCAACAGCTCTCTCTCAGCTTCTGTCATCAAGACAGCTAAATCTGCATTTATGTTTTAGATGTTGTTCCACAGCACAACTTTCCACGTGGCAGGTGGTTTTCTAGTGAGATGACATTTTGTTCCTAATTAATGTATGCAGTTCTTTGCTCAGGATAGGTGATCAAAACAAGCCCTGCCAAGACGAAAGGAAAAAAACAATTCACAGTGTGAACACTGGGCCAGCTTTCCTATTTTGGACAAATAGTTCTGAAACTGATGTAAAATGTATCCTTCCTTTCTGTTCCTCTTACTAGATTATGATTATATTGCCTTCCTCAAGATTGTGGACAACGTGAGACCACTGGAGAGTAAGCTCCTCTGGCTGACCCAGAGGCAAGGAAGCCTCCCTGTTCTTCCTTTTCTTCCTCAAAGAATTTTCATTCTTGTATCATGGAAATTAATGCTGAGCTTCTGTGTATCATCAGAGAATTTACAAGTCCAACCATGGAAAGGAGATTTTGAAAGAGGATAACATTTCCTCATTTAACATTTTAACAAGCTCATGATCCCTATTGGATGACGGAAACCAGAAGATAGTAGATGCTGGCTAAATCAGCAGAGCTCTGGAAGGCCACTGGAAAGAAGTTCTGCATCACTGAGAAGCTAGGAAAGTAAAATTGGTGTAAGATTTTGCTTACCAAACCCTGGCTTCCAACTCTGACTTTGAGATGACCACTGCATGGCTGAATGATGCCTCTTCTTAGCACCATTCCTGTACAGCGAGTGCAGGTTGCTCATCATAAGCAATAGCTTAATTTTCTTTCCAGGAGCTCAAGGTCCACAAAGCAAGCTAGAAGTGGCAGTGTGCTATCTGCATATATGTTCTGGTATATTTTGAAACCGAGGTGCAGATTAGACTGCACACGTGTAAACAAAGCCATTATTCTCACTCAAGCATGCAACGTGACTCTGATACAGCCTCTCTCCAACCTTCTCAGGAAGGAAACACAAAACACCAGCACAGGACCAGGGTATCCTCCTGCGATGTGAATTCAGCCAGCCCCACTGTGCCAGATACAGTGTGGGCCAGTAAATCATTTGACCCAAGCTTAGATTTCAGTACAGCAAGCAGGATACAGCCAGGCTGACAGGTCCTCGGTCCAGGCAGAAAGCAAAAAGTGACAGCTTGGTGCTTTCCTGAGGCCAAAACACTAACTAAAACTGAAGACAGGGCTTCTGTGCCTCTGACTACTGTTCCTAAATGAAGCATTTCGGAATTTGTCTCCTGTCATCAGGCCTTAGCAAGGACCATCACTTAAAGAGCATGAGAAGCTCTGGAGATGCTTTGGTAAGGGCCGTGTAAATACCACAGACACAAAGTATCTCCATTGCTCCTTATGTTCAAAAATTTGTTGCTTCCTCTGACCTATTTCTCAAATCCTGAGTTTGCTTTAGTCACCTGGTTAGTGCCATCACTTCCCAGTAAAGACAGAAGGCCATGTCCTCCCTGCCCTGCCCTCTGATAAACAAAGCCTGCGCCACTCTGCTCCAATGATTGTAACTCCTAGCCAGACACTTGGAGGACACTTCCTGCAACTAAGGTAGCCCACCAGAGAGTGACACTGGTCCACAGGTATATTCAACACCCCTGGGTTGGCTGGCTGCTCTGGTTCTGCAGATTTGTATCTGGCAGAGCTGGCTGAGCAGGCTCTGCACACCAGACTAGCCAGGCCAGCAAAGCAGCACAGACATGCTGCCCTACTCACAGCCCCTGCACTGCTGAGGCAGGAATGGCAGCTGTTGCAGTGATGGATACAGCTCAGTGCAATTAGCAGGAAACCTCATTTACCCCTAGAAAGTGGAACACACTTCCTTTCCTCCCAGGGGAGGATGGTCCTTTGTAACAGACAGTGACTGAAGAGGTGGATAGCCAGATACAGGCCAGAAAGGGTCAGAAGAGGGACTTGGCAGACTTGGTGACTTGGGCTTGTCACATAGCTGGAGAGGTCAAATGGCAGGTGAGTACCCGTGGAGGTACAAATACCCTGCAAAAGGAAAAATACACAGAGGGGAGGGCAGCCCAGGAAAAAAGAGAAGAGGCTTCTTGGGATGAAGAGAAACTGTTTTCCATTTAATGCTGCATCCGCTCCTCAAAGGGTTTTTCTCTTTAATTCCTCACACTACAGAAGGAAGTTAGTAAAACATGAAAAGATGCCGGAATAAAGCATATACATCACTGTACGCTCAATTTTAAAAATCTACACCAAAATCCTAGTGAACTTTCAGCTAAGGCACTGCAGTCTCTTCTTCTTACCTAGTACTGTGAGGAAAATTATCTTATTTATCCTCAAAGTATGAGTCATCAACAAAAAAGGAGATTATTGCATGTGTTTGCTGTAATTAATGACACCCACATAGAATGAGACTTTTGCCCCCTCTGTGAGCTGAAGCTGTTTCAGCTTTCACAGAATCAGAAGGATCCTTTTGAACACTGTGGCGCTAAACTTATCAGTGACTGGGCAGAAAGCATTTTCATCCAGCTTTGAAGCCATTTATGAGGGTCTTGCAGAAAGAGAGCACAAAGTTACCTTTCTCTCCTACATGCTCCTTCATTACAGGCTCCCCAAGGATCATGGAGAAGCAAGAAAAATAATGAATATTCATTTCCAAAGTTCAGTTAATACTTGTGCATGAAGACTTTCAGCAGGCTTATGCAAAAGCACACTGGAGACTTTGCTATGTGTCTGTACATAAAACCAAAATTCACAAGAACTCAGTCATGGCTCTCTCTTTCTCTAAATTGAATTGCAAGGCCTTATTCCTCATCTATTTAATGTTTTTATCATCAGACAGCTTTCATCTTGAGAATATTACAGGGTACAGTGGACCGAATACAACACACAGTAAACCTTAAAATCTTTGACATAGGACTATGGGTGGAACTGCCTCTCTTCAATTACTTTCATATCTAGAGAAATTCCTTCTTAAAGCAAATGTGTTGTCTTCTTCCTTAAAGTTAGTAACCGTGCTGAATCACACTCCTTTTTTTTTTTTTTTTTTTTATATATATATTCTACAGAATACATATTTTTTAATGTGACTTATTTAATGCCTCACCTGCCTGGCTGGGTTCAGTCCAAGTGTCTCAGAAGTACAACTTTAATTCTTTGCTTTCTTCTCAAAGTCAACTCTAGTTTCTTATTTTTGAAGACTGAAAAAAAAAGGAAGAAATTACAGATTCTGGTATTTTTTACTTTTTTATTACTTTAAGTAATAAAGGACTTGGAATTTTCATTATCTAAGCCACTTTTCATGGCAGTGCAAAATTTCAGACAGCAGCATTTTGAGCTGGGCTTCTATGGCATGCCTACTACCACCACCAATCTTACCCATGAGGTGGCTGCACAGGCAGTGGAGTTTCCTCAAGTCCCCAGCTGGAGTCCAGTCACTTGGCATCCAGCCCTTTGCTCTTCCAGCTCACAAACCCTGTGCCTGTTTGATTTGAGGGAAGAGAGGTCTATGGATATCTTGTGTCAATGTGACAGGCCCAAACTACAGACAGGAATCCAGAGGGATGGCGAGATTGACTCTGGCTTGGTGGTAGGGTAATTTCTTGGGGCACAGTGTGACAGGAAGGTTTAAGGGTAGCATGACATTTGCAGAGGTGCAGTAAAGAGGACATGGAACACTCTCTCTCTCTCTCTCTCTCTCCACGGGCCAGAATGCTACAGCCAAGAGTGGTGGAAATACCACTCCAGGTCTCTGCTCCTTACTGGGGTGGTGTTAGGGGGAAGGAAGAGAGATGAATCAGAGTTACATCCCTGTAAGGCAGAGTTCCTGCCTTCTCTTCCTGGCCACCCCAGGAGCTTTACCTCCAGTGAAGAGGTACACAGCTTTACCTCCAGTGAGGAAGTGTGGCACTAGGAAGAACTGAACCTATGTCCCTCTCCTTGTTTTGTTTCACTCAGCAGGAATTCATCCTGAAAAACAAGAATTAAAAAGGCTTACTGCTTAGTCTGGTTTAAGATGAAAGGAAAGATGTTTTCTGGCTGGTGTGTAAGAGGTAAGACTTTGAAAGGATTTGAACAATTATGAAGACCAATATGAAAATTTTAGTATTGTGGCAGGACACAGTGATTGAGAATGAGCTGAGGTCTCAGGTAACTGAACTGAAGCCAAAAGGAACAAGAGCCCTGATCCAGCAAAGATACTTCACACAGGCACAGCAGCTTCTGTGCTCTGAAAATAAGCTTTGTCTCAGATGTTGTGATACCATTTATTGTCTGGTTTAATATCTTAGTGAATGAGCTACTGACACCATAGCTACAGAGGGGAAATACGCTTTTCTTAGCAAAAATAATACAGAATATTGACAAGTAGAGAACTGCTCTCACCAGAGTCTAATTTTCTCTCCTTTGAGAGCCTGCTTTCTGTAAAAGGCATTTGCTTCATAATGCCTTGGCAAAATCAACCACAACAAACATCCCCTGTTTGAGTTGTGCAATATAGGAAGTCTGAAATGTTCATTTTCAGAATAGCTATTTCATATTCACATTATTATTTTAGTTGCCGTGTTAAAAAAAAAGATTAATGAGATTTCTGGCAGTGAAACACCTAGATAAAACACTTTCTAAACATTAGACATAGACTTACTCTATTCCTTTCTAAATAGGAATATCAAGCTTTTTCTTCCCAGTTCAAGATAAGTTGTAGCCACACATTCAGTGAGTTCCTGGGTTGACTCAAGATAACTTAAGCTAACATAGAAACTGCTGAAAAGAAAAGTGACAGAGGATTTTTTCACTATGTCTGTTTTTCTAAAAGAGCTAATGGAAAACAAGCTGGCTGAGATTCTGTTTGCCTGAGGTAATCAGTTTTTTGATGTGTGAATTTTTTTCATCATAGTAAACACAGGGTGAGTAGGACTGTGAGCCTAGACTTGCAAATTTTCATGACAGCTTTGCATACTGAAATGATTCACATAGTGAAATAATGCTGGAAGTTAATAAAAGAAACACAGATTCTCCTGTCATCCTGATACTCTTCAAGATACAGAATCCTACCTTCAAGGCCTCTTGAAGTCAGTAATATTCTATCAAATGAGTTCAGCAGTTTGGAACACATACATAAAGACCAATTCAAATTCTCCTTCCACGTCAGTATGCTTTGCATGATTATTTATCCAGGGCATTGTTCTAGCAGAAGGTAAGTAAAATACTTTTGTTTAACACTAAAGATAAATTAATCACTGCTTTGTTTCATTAGCAAAGTAATGAAAGTGCCAGAACAGACAGAATCTAGCTCTAAATACCAATCTGGACAGAGGCCTGCCCCTGAAGAGGACTAAGCCATTGGCTAGGCGCCTAACCTTGCTGCATACACACTTGTCTGCTTGATGTCTCCTCCATTCCTGCTTTTGTACATGAGTGGTGGGGGCCTGTGATTAAACATGTCCAGAAAACAAAAGCTGCATACTCAGAGAAAGAAGAGGAAACAGAGGTTTTAATGTCCACAGTTTACATAATGAGCTCAAACTTATGCACTGCAGGAGTTTATACTGCATATTGAATACCCACAGTTGGTCAGGTAAGACTTTTTACTGACCACTACAATGTTGGCCTGCTCACACATCAGTATTATAGCTCTCCAGCCTGATATAATTCATTCTCCATAGGCACAACACACCCTCTTACCTGACTTTGTACAAACTTGGGAGATGCCTGTCACAAGCCTTGGGCCTCTGTTTTACATCCCAAATACTTCAAGGCCATTATCTGATTCAGCAGCATTCAAGTTCTCTCTTGAATTCTGACAAGAGAAGTAGCAGTTTAAATCCATCAAACAGAAAATTTGACCTAAGAAGAAAAGGAAAATTTTAACATGAATAGATGTCAATATGCTATGTGGCTTATGGGGAAGGTGCAGCTGCAGTTGCTTGATGCTCTTAAGGAGTCATCAAAAGCTGCTGCTCTGCAAAGTGAACCTGATTTAACTTGTTCCCTGTGGCTCCTAGAGCTGAGTAATCCTCTTCAGTATGTCCTGTTTTGGTACAAAACCTGTTCATTACATCACCTCCAGATCAACTATGCAAGTAAAATGGATCTGACACACATTTTTAACTTGCAATGATTGTTTTTGCCAACTTTTCCTAATTAGTGCAGATTCTCTCCGTGACCTATTTTCAGGAACTGAGCAGTTCAGTAAAGCCTGGATAATAAGAGCCTGTGTTTTTACTTCTACAAAATAACATAAAGCTCATCTGTAACTTCAAGTTTCCCTTTAGCTGCTGCTGTTGCAAAAAAGTTAGAGATACAAAACAGGACACTTATTTTCAAGGTTAAACCTTGAAAGCCCTCCAAGTCCTCAGCACTGAAGACATTTTTAATCAGAGAATCTCTTCTCTAGTTCATCTCCACATTATATCTATAAAGCAGATGTGACTCTCACACCTCATTCCTTGACAGTCTTGCTGCAGAGGAAGACTTGCTCTCATTTTCTCTCTTGAAGTCCTGCCTGTTTGTTCTTCAGTGAATCTTATTATCCTGTCTGAGCAGCCACACAAGTTTAATGACTGGGGCAGAGACTACTTCCCTGGCTGGCTGTTGCCTAGGGTCTGATGTTTCTAGTTACATTCTTGGGCACCAAGAGATGTGGCTGTGGATTCTCCAGGCTATGGCAGGTGTGCTTTCCACTCACACACTAGAGAGCTGAGGAGGGATCCCAGACTTATTCCCATTGCCCTGTCTTCTAGCCCCCACAAGACAGCTCCCACACAGCACACTGGATTTCCTGGGCAGTTACTTCTCCCCCTGCACTATGAAAGGGAAGTGGACAGCTAGGATTGCATTTGGCACTAGGCGCTGAAGTCCTTGAGTTGTAGGGATTAAAATCTTACATTGGACCAATCTGATGAATACAAAAGACAACCTCTGAAGTGCATTTATAATCTTGTATCTATTCTTCACAGTTCCCTTTATGAAAAGTAAGTGGTCCACTCTTAGTCTTTTTAAAATATAGTGCAGGAATTACAGTTTACAGAAACCCAGGAACATACTATATATGTGGGATCTAGCTTTTCAGGTGTACTTAGCTTACTTATATCCAGCTGAAGGATGTTGTAAACTACTGATATGTGCCAAGATGGTCTGTATATTAGTGTGTTTCCTTACACAAGATAAAGTCCAAGCCACAGGAGAGCAAAACAGCCCAAATTTCTGGTCTCTGTGAGCTGAGAGATGTAAGCAAATTCTGACAGAGAAAAAAAGAGGCAGGAGGCCCTGACCACAGGAAGGATGCTTTATAAATTCTATAAATCCTGAACTATTGAACTATTCAGGAAAAAGAAAACCGGTTCTGCATAATTATCCTGGGAGTGCAATATTGTAGTGGATGCATAGGAAAAAACACCAGAAGCACAGAATGCTTGACTGAGGCAAGGCATATTGATGATTCAAAAAAGGAGCTGAATTTTTTAATAAATATTATTTTTTAAAGCAATCAGACTGATTCAGTGTTCTTAATTCTGTGGTCATACAGTATCACAGGGACGTAATTAAAAAGTTACTTTTCCAAGCCGAGAGACACGCAGTTGCCAGGCAACATATTATATACTTGAGAACATATAACACTGCACATGATTTATGTAGTGCTGTTGTTGTGTCTCCAGATGCTGATACCATTGTGTCTAATGAAGATTCTTATAGGCTCAGCCACCACCTAGCTACAGCCATCATGCTGAATCTACTCCTCAGTACTGCTGGCATCCATCAGCTGCAAGCCCATTTTTAAACCCACAGCTTGGATCACTACTGAAGAGTCAGTAATGTGAACAGAAGTTAATTGGAAAGGAGTAGCAATGAACTGCATTAAAGTCCTTTCTTTACTTTTAATATCAAATAATCATTCTGATAATATTAAAACATCAATCTAAAAATTATTAATATAGATGTTGAGGTTTACTGCATTTGCAAAAATGAAAATATTTATAAATGCTTATGTCACAAGACATCATCTCTCAGGAAGCTAGAAAGATTTATGGGATATGAAAATCACATCAAAAATTACACTCAGAATTAGAATTATTGGAAATCTCCCAAAATAATTGTTCTGTGTTTTCAGGTTCGCGGAAAGAAAGAACACATTTCCATTTTGGATCTATTACTTAGACTGGACTAGATTCTCGTTCCCCATGGACACAGCTTTATCCTCTGCCACAGCTGAAAACTCATAAAAGAAGGCATGAGCTCCTGTGAAGGTTCATAAGTACCAGTAATCCACGTTATGAAAACAAACCTACATGGAGTCAATGTATGTTCAGTTGAATGGCATGTCATTTGTGTTGGGCTTGCTGCAGTAGTTTGATGTTGGAGAATGTAAGCATAGGGAACCTTCCTTATCCTACATCTCAGATGTTGTGGTTTCATAGGCCATGCCACCTTAGTCCAAGTACATTAATTTTCTCAGATTTTATACAAAATATTTTTTTTCTTCAGATATTATTATATTGTGAGAAGGGAGAATAGGCTACTACATTCAGGGGAAAAATGTTTTTTAAAAAATGGTTTGAGTATTTTCTGTTTGAGGTTTGGAAGCTTCGAGTTGGTGCCTGCAGAATCCTCCTCCTGGAAGTAGCCCGCTGGAGGGAGCTGTGACATCTCAAATACATCAGCAGCCTCGGCTGGAAACTCCCTCCTGGAGGCCCCCGGGAAGGATTTTCTACACATTTTTAGTCTTATGCACTTTTGAAAACTATGAATCACCTTAAACAGGTGTTATCTTTTGTCAAAATGAATTTCTGAAGCAGTGGATGTTAACAGCAAGCTTTTGATTATGTGTATCTGAGAAACAGACTACAGAGATAACTTCATTTGGAGACAAGTGCCTGTGTGCAGCTTGCAATATTTGCACACCCAGTTACTGTGACATTGAGTGGCTGAACAGAAATAAAAAAAGGGAACTACAACTAAGAAATGTTCAATCACATGCCAAAAATGAAAGGAAAAAACTGTTCCTGTACTCCTTACTGATTTTCTTCCATGTAGGATGCATCTTCTTGGACGCTGGCATAAAAGCTTAAAAACTTTACTTCGAAGCCACAATTTGAGGTAAGTTAATTGTATTTTGCCTTTGGGCTACTGTGTGTGTCCTGTTGATGAGAGCCAGGTGTGCGGAGAGGGTTAGCTGCAACCTATAACAAGGATATGACAGAAAGCCAGGTTTAACAAAGGACATGGGTACCTTCAAGCACCCAGCAATTCCATGCCTCCACAGCACGGCCTTGGGCATTGTCTGAGGAATCATTGGCACCCCAAAATTCACCCAAAGAGGGAGACTGCAGCAAGGAGCGCCTTCCCTGTACCAAGTCACACTAGCATCAAATAATTAGAGGAACAATTTTCAGGTTAATACTTGTCTTTTAAAATCCAGACACAGAAGAAGGACATCCTGGTGTCTTTTGATACAGGGGGACAGCAGCCCTAGAAGTAGGTCTGGGTTCAATTCCTTCTGCAGCCTGAAACCATTGCAACTGACACCACACAGCTCACTCTGGAGTGCTCTTGGGCCATGCTAGCAGCTGGGATTGTGAGTGAAGTTGAAGTGGAATTAAGCAAAGTGTAGAAATACTGGGTCTCCTCAGACCCAGCTTGGAGCTGTATCCCTCCCTACCTCTATTTCACAGCCTAAGCTTCAGTTATATTGGTATTAGCATTTCCATATAGGATCAAGGAATATTTTGAGTAGGAAGGGACCCACAAGGATCATCAAGTCCCAGGTATCACCACCTTTAGCTATCTGACAACCTTTCTGCATGTGTCTGGTTCATCTTTTTCCAACTGTGAAGGCAAAAGTAGCTAAGGGAAAAAAAACCTCAGGAAAGCAGCATCATGCTATCAATAATCAAAAGAGAAGATGCTAGAGAGATAGCCTTCCTTTTTCTACTCTTCCCTCTCTCCACATATGCCTTTCTCTCAGTCAAGGGCTCAGCCAGAGGGAAGACCAAGGGGCTTAATCAGAGAAATGACAGCATGCCGTGTAGACCATTAATAGCCAGGCACTTTTTTAGCCAGATTGCAGCTGTTCACACCCACCTAGCCACATTAATGAATAAGCAGACTAGCTGGATGCTTCTGAGAGAATGAACAAGGCTGACATTTGAAGTGTCATTGCTGGGCTTCAAAATTAAAGCCCTTTTGAGATAAATGAAGGTGATTCGCAACCTGTAAACTACTGGCACAGAGAGAAGCAGCCCAGAAAGCTGAGGTTCCTGGATGGAAAATCTGGATGGCCCATGAAGGCCATATAAGGATAGCAAGACTAGGCAACACAAGGCAGTTGTGTTCCCCTATCTAAGTCCTGAGGGTACAATCCAGCAGCCTTATTCATAGAAGCATTCCAGTTTAAGTCAGATAACAGCCTGATGAAGTACATAGGACTGATTTTTTTAAAATGAGATGTTCTTAATTACCAGATGCTGCTTCAAGCAGTTCCTTCTTTTAAACATAACCCAGCTTCTGGTGTTCTCCACTTAAAACCATTAGTATGAGAAGGTCAGGAGTAATAAAGTAGCAGAAGTATTTCATTTTTAGATGTGAATGGATAGAACAAACACAAACAATCCATACAGAAAATTTAAACTCAAAAGCTGTTTATCAGAGTTGCAATTATCTGCTCATCAAAGACTTTAAATACCACTAACACAGCCCCTTAGGCTCACTTGGAAGAGTTCTTTCAAAATGCACTGGTGTTCCTTTATCAGGCTTGGAAAGAAAAGCCAAACCAAAAACAACCTTCCTGCTTCTCTGAACAATATACTCTTAAATTTAAGAAGTAAGATAATACAGAATAATGCTAGTGCATGTAAGCTGGCAGGTAGAAGGTGTGTAAAGCTTACAAAT